GATGGTAGAGCGGTAGATGTGGTTTATCTTGATTTCAGTAAAGCATTTGACACCGTCTCCCACAGCATCCTTGTAGAAAAGTTGATCAGGTATGGGTTTGGTGATCAGGAAGTGAGGTGGATTAGGAACTGGTTGAAAGGAAGGAGTCAGAGAGTTGTAGTCAATGGGGCAGAATCTGGTTGGAGGTGTGTGACTAGTGGAGTCCCACAGGGGTCGGTACTGGGACCGGTGTTGTTCAACATCTTCATCAACGACCTGGATGAGGGTATAGAATGTACCCTCAGCAAGTTTGCTGATGACACTAAGCTGGGAGGAGTGGCTGACACACCAGAAGGCTGTGCTGCCATTCAGAGAGACTTAGATAGGGTGGAGCATTGGGCGGGGAGAAACATGATGAAATTCAACAAGGGGAAGTGCAGAGTTTTACATTTGGGGAAGAACAACACCATGTCCCAGTACAGGTTGGGGGCTGAACTGCTGGAGAGTAGTGTAGGTGAAAGAGACCTGGGGGTCCTGGTAGACAGGAGGATGACCATGAGCCAGCAATGTGCCCTTGTGGCCAAGAAGGCCAATGGCATCCTGGGGTGCATTAGAAAGGGTGTGGTTAGTAGGTCAAGAGAGGTTCTCCTCCCCCTCTATTCTGCATTGGTGAGGCCACATCTGGAGTATTGTGTCCAGTTCTGGGCCCCTCGGTTCAAGAAGGACAGGGAACTGCTTGAAAGAGTCCAGTGCAGAGCTACGAAGATGATTAAGGGAGTGGAACATCTCCCTTATGAGGAAAGGCTGAGGGAGCTGGGTCTCTTTAGCTTGGAGAAAAGGAGACTGAGGGGTGACCTCATCAATGTTTACAAATATGTAAGGGGTGAGTGTCAGGGGCCGGAGTTAGGCTTTTCTCAGTGATGACCAGTGATAGGACAAGGGGTAATGGGTGTAAATTGGAGCATAGGAAGTTCAAGGTGAATATCCAAAAAAATTTTTTTACTGTGAGAGTGACAGAGCACTGGAACAGACTGCCCAGGGAGGTTGTGGAGTCTCCCTCACTGGAGACATTCAAAACCCACCTGGATGAGTTCCTGTGTGATGTACTCTAGGTGACCCTGCTCTGGCAGGGGGGTTGGACTAGATGATCTCTCGAGGTCCCTTCCAGCCCCTAAGATTCTATGATTCTATGATTCTATGATTTTCTTAAGAAAAAAAACAGAATAGGTTCATCTCTATTTCTTGGGACTTCCAACCTGAAAGAACAGCAAATTTGGAGGATTCTTCCATTTCGTTAGAAATTTGGGCTCTGCGGTATTTATACTATTAAATGGCTACACACTATGCACTATAAAGTCTGTTCAACAGTATATACCATTCATTCACAAATAAAGCATACTTGCTGCCTTTGAGCTAAAACATTCCTCTACTATTCTACTTCAGAATATCTTATTGTTAACCACATACATACTCTGCACATTTTTAAACTTAACAACCAAATTCAGTTGTTGCTGAAATAAACAAACTTTTTTTTTTACTTTAAAGTATTTAATTAGTCAAACAATCATTATCAATGTAACAAACTGAAAAATACAGCAACTTGATACAAGACTGAGGTAACAAAATACTTCGCCAAAAACCTAGATTCCAACACCAAGGTTATTATGGGTGAGACAGTTCACAAGAATTACAGAAAGAATCTTTACACAAATGGCATGCAGTGGACTGCTGGAAAATACAGCCAAAAATAGTGCAAGAACTTTCACACAAAACAAACCAAAATGTTGAAACTGGTTTACATTACAATGTGACCAATAATTGGTAATTTGAAAACTACTGGTTTTGCCTCATTTTAGTGCTATTTGGAGAAACATGCATTTTGGCACTGAATCCATCAAAATTTCACATCAATAAATTACTAATAATATTGCCTATATAGTTTTTATATCTTCACAATTCTGAAAAGAGTAATTTTGATATAATGTTTATTTTTACACAACTATTGCAGTTACTCTCTTTGTTGGATAATAACTTGTAATTTTTTGTGAAAATGCTGTATTAATCAGTACTGATAAGCAGTATTTTGTATTTCAGTAGCAGCTTTCAATTCACATTAAAAGTACCAGATAATAGCAAATGGTACAAAATGACAGCATAAAACCTCCAATTAGCAGCTATAAACTGTAATATTTAAAAACTAATGTAAAAATGGTTTAAGATATTTTTATAGTATTCTTACACTGCCATCATTCTGAACTTTTTTGTGTTGTGCAGCAATTTCACAATTGTGCCCTATTGAAAGATCTTAACTGAACTACTGTGTAAAACTACCATTTGCTATGTTCTTCTTTCTTCTATATAATGCTTTTAACATTCAAATTATAGTAGTGTGAGGGAATTTACGTTACTTTTCACGTTTCCAAATTCCAAGGCTTTGAGTAGGATTTGAGTTTGAGAACTAAGTAGGAATGAAGTGTTTAATTTCTCCACACATTCATATTCTGCCAGTGACAAATGACTGGGTGTAAGAATCATTCGGAATTATTGCCTTTCATTCATGCCACGTTGATCCTTTCTAGCTAGGAATCTGTTTTACAAGCAAGTGAAAATGGATCTTTTGTAACTTCTCCAATATGGTCTATTGCCTCTACTTTAGTAAACCTATTTTTTGAAGGCTACAGTACATACAATAACACATATAACATTTTAGAGACCCCTTACATTCTAAAAGCCATTAAATTCTGAGTGTGTAAAGGCTCATTCTAGTCAGCAGTTACTTCTCTTTCAAGGGAGGCTTGTGAAACATAACTGAGAGTTACAACATCTGTTAGTTTACCTCCATTGTAATATGCTGGAAAAATGTCTCAAGTGTTTGGTATGTATTTACATGCTTCTATGAATGTACATTTCATGCCAGTAAGAGCTCAATTTTCTATTTAGTTTACGTTAAAGACAAATCAGGTTATTCCCATCTAAGGGGAAAGGGCTACTAATGAAGTAACTTTAAAAAAGAACTTGAGGTGAACAGTTCTGTTTTGGTTGGTGTTTCATCTTTCTGGTCACTGTTCTGCACAGGACTCAAACCCTAAGAACACTAATAACAATACATGTGGCCATAGGTGGCATTTTCCTTAAAATGGCAGTCCATGTTAACACTTGAATCCTCATGAATAATCTCTTGCTAACTAATCACAAAAGGCCAGAGGTGCAGAATAGTTCAGATTATATCATATTCTAACAGCCTGAAGTAATTTACTCCTGACAGCATTTTACCATGTTCAAAAGCCTCTACACTGTCTCTTATGGCATTGGATGCTTGGTCTGCATAGATACTGATGTTTTTCCTAGTTCAAAGTTGTCTTAACTCAGGAAAAAAAAATGAGAAAAGAGTTATAAATATATTTCGCACTACCACTCTTTTCACACAACTCCTGAGCTATCAAATAAACTTTGTCAACTTTACATACACTTTCACATGTAGCAGGGTCTAAATGTAGTTTTCATCAGGAACCAGTTTTCTTGAAAAGCTGGTGTGTATCAGCCTTCACTCTCATGAACACTTAAAAGAGCACAAAACCGACCTATGTTTAACAATACAGGTTTGGTTTTGTTGTTGTTATTTTTATAAAAGTTTCAAAATAAAAATTTAGAAAATCATACAAGTCCACAGAATAAATGCTCCCAATGCCAGAGAGCTTCTTCTAATATAGGTGGCACTGCTGAGTTAAACTGACTTCTACTTTTGCCACGGGTTGCAAGCTTGACTTTGGCTTGCAAACGTCTTCTCTATGCAATCTTAGGAAACTCAGAAGAGGCTTTTCAGTGATTCATGGAGTCTGAATACTGATGCCTTATGGCAAAAGAGTTTCAAACACAAAAGTACTTCACTTAGCATAGGAACTAAAAAAAAAAACTCCACAGGAGTGCTACAAGGGTAGACAAGGGATACAACTATGGATGTAGAGGCAGCTCTTTCAGAGGAAAAAGTTATGTATTTTTTTTCCTTTGTATTTGCTCCACTGTCAGACAGTCTTGCCTAGCTTTCATTCCCATCACAATTTCCTAAGAGCATTACCATGTGCCACTCCTATATGCCAGAAAGGTGCATCATGTACTGGAACTGAGTAGACCATAGACAAACAGAAACAAGGATATGGAATCCTTCTAAGAAGCCAGGGACATGTGGTACGTAACACCTGATTACCTGCTTCCCTGTACCAAGGGATTTAAGATGAACTACATTCAGACTGAATTAAAAAACAAATCTGTAAGCAACTATGCCACTATTGAGAGAATTAAAGATGACCTAAACAACCTAAATGACACATTATGCATGACATAAACAACCTTAAATTAATTGTTAGGGCATTCCTGACTAAGATTAATTAAAAAAAAACAGGACCAACTGTCGTGTGCCAAAATACATTTTTTCCCAAATAGCTCAAATGTGAACAGCAGAACTGTCCAGAGATTTGATGCAAAATCTGAGGCAGCCACATTGCCAAGCAACTCAGTGCACTTAGATTATAAAAATGTTTTTTCACAATTTTCTATTCTAATTGACACTTTGCAACAAGTTAACACTGTCAATCATTCTGTGAATAAGGAAGAATTGAAACCCAACATGGGCCAAATATTCTTCAGTCACACAAAGCAGCTCAACAATAAAAAGAACCATTTTAAAAAGAATAGGCAGAAGATACGTTCAGTTTGTGGTCAAACATCAGTTCATGGCAGTCTCTGGCCATAAAATTGAGGGCTCTAGAATCCTGCAGGAGTTGGTATTAATCTTCTGTCCATTTAATTTGCTTTCACTCAGTGCATGAGACTATATCTGGTCCTAAGGACAACATTCACTTTCTGCTTTTAAAAGCTATGTCAGAGTCACTTTCAAGTTACATAGGAAAGTGCTGAAGTATTTGTGGCTGGCTCATGTCAGGAAAACCATTCTCCTCTTCTTAGAGAACAACAGCCTGTTTCTTCAGTTTGGCACTTCAATTTGCACCAGGTAGGAGAGCACATCATTCGAATGACATCAGATTAGCAGGTACCTGGAAGAGAATGCAAATTATTCAGCAGTATAATGCTTCTATGCCTGTTGGGAAACTGCAAGGTTACAAAATAGTGGGCTAATGTGAAAAATGTAATCAGTCCTAAACAGGCCCAAAACAGGGCTAACCCCACAAATGAGAGGAAAGATAAAAACTCAAATTATTTTTCTATTCATGCACTGAATCCAGCCAAAGTATTCCATGAAGTCATCAGTACACATGGGAGAGGATGTGTGTGTGTAAAGAAGATTCTCAAGCTGCATCCTGTTTTAGGTCCTATGTGTATCAGCATCCTATTAATATAACTTTTGGAGATCCTTTTGAGAATAAACATTTTCCTTAAAAGAAGGAGGCCACTATATAAAGGACAAACAGAGTGTTTTACAGAATTTGTCTCTTCAATGACACTTACAGACTCAGTCACTGGAGTAAAATGCTACCACATTTGCTTTCTTTGCCCATGAGAAAGCCTCCCTAAAGTAGAGATGGGGCTAAACTTAGGAGTCAGTGTAGAGGTTATATGCTGTTAAAGTAACCAAACCTATATTTAAACCTGCACAAATCCTGATTTGATGGGAATTCTGTATTTTTAAATCATTTTTATTCCTCCTATTGAAAATTTGGATCAATGTAGGAAAGGAGGAGTTACGTCTATCCCCACAGGAGTGTGTATGCACACAGACTGAAAAGAGGTACCTTTTCTGGTAAAGATTTTCTAGAAAATATGATAAAGTGGGTAGAAATAAGTCTTACAACCTTACCTGAGGCTTGTTGCTTTTGCATGCATCATCCAAATGCTTATGCCATAATATTGCATGAAACCTTGAACCAGTCTGGAACTTGTAAACATTGCCTACAAAAATAAGAAAAATCAATGACTCAAAATTTGCAGACAGACATGTGGTTTCCAGGGATTCTACTTTCTGTGGCAGAAGCCCAAGTCCTGAAGCAAACTCTCAAATTAATTTGCACCTCCAACACTCAAACAGGATGCTTCCTCATATAATAGACACCACGTGAAGCGTGTTATCCAGCAAACCTTGGGTAAAGGGAATATAGGAACACATTTTGTCTGCAAGGCTAAGAGGAGTGTTAAGGGCAGAGAGGCCAAAATACAGCCACAGAAAAGACCACTTAGGTCACATCTAATTTACTCCTGGCTTTCTTCTTAGTAAGACTGTTGTGGTTACTGCCAAACTTCTTATGAACGCTTTTGACACTTGTGAACTTACTTTTCTTCAGTCCTATTGTGAGTTTCCTCTTTACCTTGTTATTCTGTAAATTGTTTCCTGCAGTCAAATACTTTGTGCATTTTAATCAATGCCCAAGGAATGCACTTGACACAGTAGATGCAAATCCATGTCCAGCACCAAAGTTGAAAATGTGAGAAGCGAAGGAAACCTTCAAAATATTTATGTAACCACTCAAAGTGCAAACACCTCCAGGAGCTTTCTAATCTTTTGAAGTTTTAGGCAGAAGAGTCATGGCACTTTAAAGTAAGTTATTAAAAAGTAACTAATAATAATTTTTTTAAGAGTTTGATGTTTGAAGAATTTTTATAATATTTTAATCGGCCTCAGCGTAAGTCAAGATTTTATATTGACCAGTTTTAAGAAAGCTGTTCAGAAACTTGGAGATTAGGGTATGCAGACACATGCATAGGACATGCAGCCATCTCGTATCACTTGGGCAATTTCTGCAGAACTTGCAGTAACTGTCAAGATACCGCAACACCTCTGCAGGCACCACAGAAGCACCACAGTATATTGTAGAAATATATTAAATTTCACTTGTATCCTCCTTTGAAAATTCAGTAGTGAAAATCTCCGTTTTCAGTCTTGAATGAGTGCCACGGTAAGTTCTGTAATCTACAAACTCATTAAGAGAGACTAATCTACTTCCTGTCACAGGAATATAATGCAGACAATGCCCATCCTGCAACGTTTACCTTTGTCAGGGTTATTTAGATGGAAAATATCAGGATGCTCAGGGTCGTCAGGCAGTGCCACCATCCAGCCCACAACGGAGACTTTTTTACCAGGGGTAGATTTATACTGGAAAAGAAAGACAAGTCAGATACAGATGAGACTGTACTAAGGATTAACTTTTGATTGTAAAAGTTGTGCAGATGTATGGCTTAACCTGAAACAGCAAGTACACTTCAAACCCTTCCAGATCTGCTTATGAGTACACAATTTTTGTTTTTAGAACAAATTTAAATAAAGCTTACATGTTTTCTTTCAGTGCCTCTTAAAGATTTTGCTCCAAAGTACAGAAGAGTTGATCCTGAAAGCATAACCCAGTATCTAGTCCATGAAGAGAGCTGTATCAGACAGGAGTAAAAATTAGGAAGAACTCTGCATATCTCTTGACATTTAAAAAATCTGTTCACAAGCAAGTCCAAGTGCTACTGAAGTTAATTTTAGAAGCAAGGAATGGAGAATTAGGTAAAGAGTGTCTCCTGGTATAAATCAGCCCAGGTACTCTAATTTCCATGGCTGTGAATACAATCCATCTTACTTGGATATCTCATAAAAACATCTGGATCAAATGGTTCACAGCAAAATACCTTGCTGCCTTCTACTGGAGAGATCTTAGACTCTGCATTTGATTAACAAAATTTAGTGAGATGACATCTCTTCAAATCTTTCAGAGCTGGACAGTAGGGCAGCACATAAAAAGTAACAATGAACTCTACAGAAAAAAAAAATAAATCACCCAATATGTAGGACCAGAACCACATGAAAACTGTGAATTCAGTCTGCCTGCACAGAAACACACGATTTATAGAGTGGCTTTACTCTTGCTCTGCTGTCACAATCTAGAGTGCAAATGCAGAGAGAAGCTGTACATCAAATGACATACAAAGATTATCATCTTGTTATAACCCAGTTAAACTTGGAACAGAAAATGATTTTACTGATAGCAACAAGGAACATTGTTTTGTGCAGCATCAAGGTGCAGGTTCAATCTAATCCTGGATATTAGAACAGCCACTACTGAATTAGAATCACAGAAAGAATTAGAATCACTTACAGTAGGTTTCTTGCCTTCTTTGAGCAATGTTTTTCTTCTTAATGGCCCTTCCATAGTAATGACTCCTGTGGAACTACCTACTGTGCAGCTGCAAGCCCCTGTTGGGCTGGAGATAAAAAACATTGCCATATGTATTTGCGCAGACAAGGACAAGAAGCAAGCAATATAATTTAGCTCTAAATATAATTTTTGGGCATTGCCTTACTATATTGTATGTACGTAACACCATTATTTGTGACAGAAGGCGAAGATAGCCTTTGTGACAAACCTGCTTCTGTGATATCATACAGCCCAAAGTAAACAACAGTCTTCTGCAATATGGAAGCCAGATACAATGAGTTAGATCAATAACTTATCTGAATTTCTTCTGAATGGGCCAGGCCCCTGCTTTAGCATTAATAGGAATTTTTACAAGAAGAAGGTCATACAAGGATAATTTGGGGCACAAAATGCATTATGCTAGGAAAGCATAGAGACCCAAAGGACAGTTTAGCACCATACACAGAGCAAGGTGCACCCTGAACTGTACCTGTAGACACAGCTTCGACTCCGAGGAGAATTCCGGATCGGTGCCCTCCAGTTAGGCCCCAGCGTGGCATATAAACGACCCCTGTTTGTGAATGCAAATATCTGATGAGGGAAATTCTAGTCTGAGACTCAACAGTTAGGGTTTGGTAAACATGACAGAGATAGTTCGCAATCTTTTCTGATCCATGGGAAAGAAAAACACAATAACTTTACAGTGCTTTATTTCAAATAGTTTGTAATTTTTTCCTAATTAATCAGTAATTTGATAAAAATAACTATTGCTTTAAGGCTTACCTATGTTAGGGATCATTCGTGAAATTCTTAGCTAAGTCTGAAGAGTGCTCAGTGAGTGTACATGAAGACTAACTCACCTTTCAAGCCCTGATGGCAGCTCCTCACTAAATTCTGAGCTTTCACTGCTATCTAGAAAAAGAGTAGTACAGAGAAGGAGTAAGAAAACCACCCAAGGGAAAATACAAAGCCAATGTATGTGGATCACCGGAATTATTTTTATATAGTACAGTGAAATTGCTTACTCAAATCATGTTTCAAAGTTGAAGTCTTTAGAGTTCATGGTGAAATCTAAAATTGGAAGGGGCTCACATGAGCCTTCCCATTTATAATATCTCACTGTTTAATTAAGCTATCATTACTGCTGTGTTTAAATACCAGATGTCTCCATGCTACTTTAATTTTCATTAAGCTGCTTTTCCTTCAAAAGCTGAGCACTTCAGGAACACAAAATCCAGTTACTTTGTAAGACAATATTTCCAATCAACTTACAAATGCTGTGGTATTAGACATGATACCATTTTGTTTCCAACAAGCATACGTGTAACAGAGGATATGCCAGCTGTATGCTGCCACTAGGAGCCACAACAAATCAGTACGATGGTATTTATAATTCACAATGACAGTCCCTATTTCTCCTCTGAGGACAGGCCTGATTTGTCCTCCCTTCCCTGGCACCACTGTTTAGCTCATAAGTAAGTCTTGCCCAGGTAAATCTTTCTGATCTTCTAATGCTCAGTATAACTCAGTGATCTGTGCATTTGTCTTCTGAAGTTCAAAGATCAAAGTGTCAAACTCTTCTTGCTAAAGTAACCTGCTATCCCTCACATCTTCTACTCTAGAAATAGCCTGAGTCACTTAAAAGGTAGCTTTCTCTTGCTTAGAACACAGATTCTTAATAACTTTGTTCTTAATTATAATAATTATTAACTATAATACCATAATTCAATTGCCATAATCCTCTTTCACAAGTTCCTTTTCTGTTTCTTCTGAAGTCACAGAGATCACAGCTAAACTATTCTCTTGTCTTCTAGAATATATTGATAAGTTTTCTTTGTGAATATATATCCACTTTTCAGTAGCACTTTTTTTTCCCTGGTGAAAAGTGCTCTGTGTCATACAGAGCACATACAAAGACAATCCTCATGTCACTTTTACCAAAACCATTAGCAGGTAACTGAGAAAAGCTGAGATGAAGCTGACCAGGTGGCTGAGCAGCAGTTCTGGTGCAAGGGACTAGTTCCTGCACGGGAGCTAATGACCTTCCCAGTTCCCTATTTTGGCGTGTCTGTGAGATTCCAGAGCACAGGGACAGAAAAGCAGGAACGGCAGTTCCCCACACAGACTCTACCTATAGACAGGCCGTTGGTGAGGAGCGTGTCCAGGGGGTGGCCGCGGGCCGGGCTGTGCGACTCCAGGACACTGTCATCCAGGAGATGGCGTGGCTTCTCCGTCGGGAACGTGGCACTTTTGCTCTCCACCACACTGAACTGACACATCATGCTGGGAAATTGGAAAAACGCAAAAGCCCTCTTAACATCATCTAATAGCCACCCTTGGCTCCTGATATTTCCACTCATGCCTTCCTGATAGGTTATCAAGGAGCACACAACTAAAAGGCACTGCTCACACTTGGCTGTACATGTACTCCTTGCCTACCAAAACAAGTTTCAGATTTTAGTGGTCTTTGTAGGTAACAAATATTACATATCTCTGCAGATGGGAAGTTTTGTTCTTTAACTGCTCTCTGTACAAAACCTTAAAACTCTGGAGGGAGGCAAAGGCAAAAAAACAGAAAAAGCAGCTAAGCCGTTGCTTAGTAGTCCTTATAAAGCTGAACAAACACATTAACAACATCATGACCTTGTCCACGTCACATGAATTTCTCTTTCAAAAAAAAACTAACCTGTTAACTATGAAATCTGGTAGCTATTGAAACCATAACTGGGAAGCAGGTGTTCTCACTTCACCGGGTAAATGATAGAGAAAAATGTTGCTAATCCATACTACCCAGGTAAAGCAGTGCAAAAGATCATAACTTTCCTCAGTGATAAGATGCACCAAGCAGCCAGCAAGTTTCTGTAGAGCTATTAGCAAGATGCTTTAAAAACATCAAAGAAAAAAAATAATCAGGTCATGCACATCAAAAACCCACAGACCGAAGTGGATACACAGCTTTCAAGTACTGCCAATGTCTAGCACTAGCAGAGAATAGAGTCAGCAAAAATAACCGTCAATAGAAAACCCAGAGAATACACAGTAAAGCCTGAAGCGCTCTTGCAATACAAGAAATGGAAGAGACAAAAACCAGAGTGTTCTGCTGCTATCTTAAACCTTTGCGATGCATTAAATTGCCCGAGTGCAAGACAGCCCGGAGTACCCACTTGTTTCCCAGGCTGTGACTCTTCCTGTGCCGTGGTACAGGAGGTGTAGGTAGACTTGCTGCTACTGAGGCATCAGGACAAAAAAAAACTGCTGAATTTCATAATTGCTGACACATCAGAGGGACCTAAAAGACAAAGATAATTTAACACTGAACTGATGCAAAACTCAGAAATGTCATGGGCTGCTGTGTTTTGCCACTGTTTAAAATTAGTTGTTCCTGATAACTGAAAGGAACCACTTCTGAAGAACTGCATATTATGGATTATGGTTACACCATCCATTTCTTTGATGAATTCATATCTATATTCTTGAACTGTGGAGAAGTCATTTTAAAAACAGCTTTGCACATACTTTTAACAATGAACTCCTACACAAAGTCCTGGCACCCTTACAACAGCTGGATGTGCCAAAGTGTAATATGCAGAGCCATAAAGTCAGTTTG